ACGGTCACACAGTCCTTCTGACAACAACTATCTCCAACGCCCACAAGCAAAACTTAGAGCTAATGGGTCTGGCAGATTGAGAAAGAAAGGGCCGGGCACTCACCCACACAAGAAGTCATGGTCCGGCGAAGTCGATCCCACCGCTGCCACCAGTTGTTGGGACAGCGTGGTTGTCCGGGGACTCTTTGGGTACTGCAGGGAGCCGAGCCAGGGCGGGAACCAGTGGCGGATCCTAGGGGGGGGGGGGGGCGGTGGGGGCGATCGCCCCCCCCCCCAAACGCCTCACCAGGCAACCCCCACCCCCCGGGGTTCTTCGTCAGCTCGAAGAAAAAACGTAGGCAATCGACGCGAGAAACAAAAGATTAAAACAGCGGTGGGTGGACGTGCCTGCTGGGCGCTTCCAAAGTGGGGTTTATCTCCGTCAAGGTCACGGTACGTCTTCCCGACAGGGACGGCGTTAGGAGTTTCGAAGTGGAGAGACAGTGGGGAGGCGCACCAAATATCAGGGTCCCCGACTGCAGGCACACTTCCAAACAAGGCCAGCACGTCGAGCACGGGGGGAAAATACCTTTCTCTCTCTCTCTCTCTCTCTTTGTCTCCCTCTCTCTCTTTAGGGATTGTCTGCGAAAAATGTGTGCCCTGAAAGCTCCCAAGCGCAGACGCCAAGCAGCGTTCCTCAAGGGTAGCGGATTATCCTTCCTCTCTAGCGGCCGCCTTTTCATCACTTTTCGTTTGATGGTTTCTTCGTGGTTTTGGGCTTGTCTTTTGGCATGTCTTTTTTGGCTTGCTTTGAGATGCTGTCGCCCACGGGCTCACTAAAGGTATCTTATTGGCACGGTGTGCTCATTGCCAAGGGAAGTGCGGAGGGGACGTACCGGGAGGAGACGTTCCAGGGGGGGGGGGGGGGGGGGATGCAGCTTGTACAACCAGGTGACCAATTGCTTTTCTTCTCAACTGAGAGAGGAAGCAAATGCTCTGAGTACAGTGTAGTCTGGGTCTGAGCTTCTCCTGAAGACGCTCCGGACTTCCCCACGACCTTGCCTTAAACATAAGCCCGCTTTCGTCCTCGCCTCCATCCCTCACTGGGGATCAGCGCCGCAGCGCGGAATACAGAAAGAAGCCGACGAGCGCCAGAAGGGGGAGATGTTTCCTCTAATGGGGTTTCAAAGATAAACGGTACGAGCACTCTAAAGGCTGGAGGCTGCTTACACGGGGTCCTCAAGCCGACGCCGTAGGCATTGATTTGTATACAATGCCGTTTCAACTTAGGGTGGCGGGACATATTTTAGGAAAGGCGCCCGCTACCCCTTGTCTCACCTAGGTGCCGTCCTTTACATTTAAACGCGGCTTCTGTGGATTGACGGCAGAGCTTTCGCGCGGCTTTGCAGGGGCGAATATGTGTGTGTCGAACGGACTTGGGGAAAACGAGCCCTTTCAAAGATGCGAGTATACATAAATTAAATAGACAGTGCCTGTGCCCGTTCGAGTGAACACCGACTCCCAAACATCCATACTGCAGTCGCGATCGGCCTTTAGCCCAGTTGAGATTCGCCGACCTTACAACCGCTCTGCCCTATCATATCTCTGCACCTGTCCTCTCGACATTGACGAATGAGCTAACTACCCAGAAACAAGTAAGTGTTCCTTTGATACAGAAAATATCCAGACGAAGTGCAATTGAATATAATTTGGAAGGATCCATTGCTGGTTTAAGGTCTTGTCTAAGTTCAAAAGTTATAGTTGCCGAACTGCAACATGCTTTAAAAAATATTCAACAATTATTCGCTTTCGTTCTCTCAAGTTACATTCAGAACACGTGAAAACACGAGTTTGGGTTGGCAATGCCGCATGTGTTGCGCTCTGGACATTCCAAATATACGGCGAACAACCGACGAACTTGCATGGCAGCGTTCGTTTCGCTCGCTGCGTCAACAGTGTTTTGACGCCGCGAGCAGCGTCGAAGCCGCCGGGCCATTTTTGTCGCTTGTTTGCAACGTACTCGCTCCGCTGATTTAAGCCACTCTTCCCGTTGCCGCAGCAGTTGAGCACTAGCTCCAACCAGAATGTCTGCCAAGGCAATGTCTTTAAGCTGCCCTAAATCGACTGCTCACGTAGTGTCGGTCTGAAACACATGTTTCAGAAAGGATAGTGTCACCAAAATTTTCGAGATACCTATAGCGTGGTCACCCGAAAGGTTTTAATTCAAAGAGTTCATCCCCGACAGGTAAACCGATACAAAAGCTCTCAAGATCTATTTTATGTTATCCGAGTTTAGTAAAAACGATAACTCCACAAAAAAATATAAACACTCCTCCCCCCCCCCCCCCCCCCCGCCGTTTTACACCCTGGAGCCGCCCCCCCCTAAAATGGAGGTCTGGATCCGCCCCTGGCGGGAACTCATGTGGAGGCCGGACTCGCGAAGGACCAGGGAGCAGGAGGGGTGTCTCTTATATAATACAACTCTTTATATATACATATGAACAGGTTACAGCATCTCAAGAACACCTGAGAACACTGTCGAAAACACAAGAGAACACTGCCAAGAGAGCATACTGTAGCAGCCGCCTGCTGCTCATTTTATAAGGTCCCCTTTCCCTACATCCCTAGTAGGGAATCCCCACGGTTCATTGTTCGTAACGTCCAGGCGCGCCATCTCCCTCTCTCTCGCACTGCAATACACAACGCGCACACCGAAGGGCAGACGACCTTGGTTACGGTGTCGCCTGTCGATCTCGTTGGTCACCGGCGCCATCGTGGTCCGGACGGGCAAAGATTCCTAATTGCAGGCGTCTTGATCTCCGTGCGTAAAGGGGATAATCCCCTCGAAGCTCGAAGCAGGGGGAGGACGCAAAGCCCCCTCCTTTGTCGAGGGCGTCCCACGCTGCCGAGGTGCCGCGCGTCGAGGCCAGATCGAAGCAGGAGGGAGAAACCCCCGGAAGGTAAAGCCCGATGACACTGGCGTTCGTCAACTTAATAATCCTGCGTTGGAGGCCACGTCGTCCCTTCGCAAGAGGCATGTTGTCGACGCCAGGGCGCCTCCTGCCCTGCCTCCATGCACCGCTAAGCGTAGCCACCTGGTGACGATGCTCCAGGGCGGTCACCCGTGCCGGTCGGTTTGGAATGGCAAGGTCGTCTCCTGGGCCCATAGAGATCCTGGGCCCTTTCGCAACAGGGGGCAGAGCCTCCTTCCTCCCCCCCCCCCCCCTTTCCGGACGATGATCCTTACCGAGACGCTGTTTACGTACCATGAAACGAGCTTCTAGTAGTGGCATGTAAACAAAATAACGCGCACAGCGACGGACACAAGGCGACATACATAGGTGGTATTCACTGAGCCTGCAGGTTCGATTTTGCCAGGGAGCGCCACCGTCGATCCGCCATCTTCGAGGTCTCGGTTTGACTGGCTTGGGTACGCTACGCGGTCGTCCGCTGCTAGTGTGTGCTAATTTCATATCGTTGAAGCTTCGTTGAACAGAAGAGAGAAGAAAAGTTGGTCTGGGAGGCGGGCCGTTTTCCTTGTTGCCGCCGAGTACCGTGTGTAAAGGCTGAACCACATGTAAGCAATTTGGCGAGCGACGGGACGAGACGAGCGGCAGCGACAAGACAAGTGACGACGACCCGCTTAATTCGCTGTCGCTCGGTCACTCGCGCGACTTGGCAAACCGCATGAAAGCGATGGGAGTAGAGTGCCTTCATGTGCGCTTGAGCGCACATGAAGGCTCCCTAGACGGGAGCATGCGATCAAGGTGATAAGCGACCCTTTCTAAAAATCCAAAAACCGAGCGACGCGACGACCGACCGCGAGAAATCTCCGTCGCTCGTCGCCGATTCCCGTCGCTGTCGCCATCGCTCGCTAAATCGCTTACATACGGTTCACCCTTCACTGTCACTCGTCGCTTAGCTCGGTTTTGGGATTTCTAGAAAACTTAGCGCTCATCGCCTTGGTCGTGTGCTCCCGTCGCTTTCATGCGGTTTGCCTCGTCGCGCGAGTGACCGAGCGGCAGCGAAGTGGGTCGCCGTCGCTTGTCTTCCCGCTCGCCAAATCGCTTACATGCGGTTTTTAAATCGCTCGGGCTAATGAAAAATGCGCCGCATTTTTCATAAGCTGCACACTCTGTGAGCCGCACGGTATGTACGACACAGCGGCGATGGAGCAACACGGTTACACGGCCGTAGTACAGAAAATCCGCTAGAGAAAAACAATAAAGAAACTAGCAAAACAAAACAAAGAGTAATCACACCGTGCTACAAAAGCACCAAAGAAGAAAAATTAGTTCTTGCAAGAGCTACCGCCGTCGGCACGGCGGGCGGCACGGAGCGCTTCATGGAGCCGATGGAGCAATTTTGCCGCGGTAAACGAGTCCGATAGCGACAAAAACGAACTAAAACCAGTGTGTCGAACCGAAAAAAATACGGGTTCGGTTACGGTTCAGGCTCAGGAAAATTTATTTTGTTCCGGTTCGATTATTTCGATCCGCGAACCGGTTCGCGAACCGGTTCGGGGAGCTGAACCGGTTCGGAAATTATAAATGACAAATTGCAACATCAAAATAAATTACAAATAAAACATCTAAAATTAGCACATACGAAACGGGATTCATCGTAGTGTAAGGCTCAGGGATTTCTACCAGGAATGGTTTCTTTATGTACACTCAAAGGTTACCTCACCGACGTTTACGCATTTGGACTTCATCTAATTGGGTCCGACGCAGTAGCTGTAAAATCCGCGACCTCCTTACAAACCTACTTACAAGTAGAACTCGCTAACTATCCCGCCACCTCGGCCTGTAAACAATTGAAGGAACAGTAGGGAGAAAATACAGCTTTCTTTATTTGAACTAGCCTTCGGTAACTCAAATTAGACCCTTAAAGAAGTTTTCATTAAACAAGATACGGAATATGAAAAACACTTTACCGAACGCAACGCCAGAAGGACGTAATAGGATAAATATTAAAATAGAAGAGTTCGCTGTCTCACAAATATGTTAGCTTCTAAGTGCCTATACGAAACCGGATGCATCGTGGTGCTGGCTTTCGTCAGCGGCAGCCACTCGCACAAAACTAACTAAACCGCACACTATATTACCTGGACGTCCAAAGGGATGCGGGAGAAGGTAACCACTTCTGTTCCAGTGACCACGTGGTTACTATGAGGTGCTGCTTTATGACGTAGGTTATTCTCTCGCAAAAAAAAGAACTTGCCACTGATTGATCTTTTTTTCAAAAATAAATACATAATTGTATTTAAAAGGATACTTCAACGAAATTTGAAATATTCCCGTCGTCTTCAAAAATAGGTTGAATATGATCCACATTATCCGTAAATGACAATCGCACGTTTGTATTTTGAGCCTGGTGGCTGTATTTTTCGTTATAAACGGCCCACTTTGGCAAGCGCTCGGAGAAGGCCCAGCGGAGACCACGTGACATCCAACGCAATCGTGACGTATGTCGTCTCAAGACGACCAAAGCTACGGCGAGGTTGACGTCGAGAGGATGGCCTAGTCGTTCCAGCTACCGAAGCGGCTGCTTTTGTACAAATTTTGAGTGACGGGTTAATCTTCTATAATCTTGTAGGGGGACAATAGCGACTTCTGCGACACACAAAAGGCATTCTCGGGAAGAGGGGAGTTCCTCCTTCCCCCCTTCTCTCGTCGTGACCGGATTCGAGACAACCTCCGTCACTAGCTGCCAAGGTTGCTAGACGGGCATTACAAGCGAGGCGTTAGCGACATCCACCAGGTGCTCTTTGCTAATCGTTTAATTCGTTTTAAAATTCCTTTTCGTGACTTTTTTAACGAGATATTGGTATGTTCGATTTGATGGTGCTTTTTTGAACACATATAGACCAAAAAATGAGCGCCGAAATTTCGTTGTAGTATCCCTTTAAAGGGACACTGACACCCCCCAAAAAATTGTTTTTATTTTTTGCCAGGCGCTTCATTATGGTGTCGGAGGACTACCCAATTAATATTTTGCAACAGAGTAGCGTATTTTTTTAATAAAGTCAAAAGACGCAACTGCTCGAAACCGAAACCGAAACCCGACGGAGGTCGGAGAAGTGGAGAGAAGAGAGTGACTGGCGGAAGTCACGTGGCTACACCCGACCGTGCGTTTTTTTTTTTTTTTTCTCCTCTCCGGTAGCAGACGATAGCAGACGACACGACATGCGGCGTGCGATGCGGCGTGCGGGAACTGCTTGCCGTGCGATTCTTTTGCAGTTATGTCTGTTCCGCTCGTTGTTCTGTACTCCAAGATGAGTTGTTTTGTACATTGAGGAGTTGGAGATGAGTAGTGAGTGCCCGTGGTGAATTTCCATGATCGGCTCCGAAAAGAATAAACCCAAGATGTTGCGTGAAGAGCTGGCTCACATGTCCTGCATCCGAAAAAAAGTGGCATTATGCGACAGAGTTTCCGAAAGATCAACGGGATCGGGACCAATGGCTGGTATAAAACCGTTCCATTAGGGTCATAGCAGAGAGGGTAAAAGAGAAAAAAATGCACTCCCCCTCTCACCCCGCATGACGTACGCTCCGCCGAGTGGGCTGTAGCTAGCGTCCGGCTGGCGTGCAAACTCTGTTTAAAATTGCGTCATTTTGGAACTTTCTAGCGCAGATGCGCAGATTTTGGTATGCCAGTTGTCGTGTAATATTATGCTAGATAAAAAGACTCACGGGGTCCAATTGCGCTGTTACCTGCGTGCAAATAAAAAAAATTATAGGGAAAACTGTGTCAGATTGGCCGGTCTCTTTGGCGAAAAGTAAATCCGGTTGCTGTACCTTTCTTACTATACACTAGTTCGTACTAGTGTAGGCCTTTAGCGACCGTGAGTGGAAGTCTGAAATAATAAATAAAACGTGCTCTCCTGCCGCAATACAAGCAGTAGTTGAGGGTAGTACTGCCGGCTCACTCAACTGCTATTTAAGTAACGGAAAAAAGATATGCTAGTTGATCATTTAGCATAATAGAACAACAGAGAGCTATAGGCTGATTTTGGAGTAGCCACAACTATTCTAAGAACGCGAACCACTTCACAACGGTAGCCACGAGCGAGAGTTCGATGTTCGGTAGAGCCCGCCGATACAGCCCAAAGATGGAGAACGGCAACCTCCCGGTTTGTCGTCTGCTAGCGGAGTCGTGCGCGTGCCCTCTCCCTCGTTTTGCCCCGCCGAACCAGAACCCGCTGAACTTCCCGGATGTGTGGAGAGGGCGCTGCGGTCGCACAAAATGGTGCCGCCCACAGAGCGCTAAATGAAATGGTCTACCTGATTTATATGCTCCTTGCATTTTGTGGAAAGTGATTACATTGAGTTCGCAGGTGTCAAAACGGAAATCCCATACCGTTTAGTTCTGCGAAGTATCGTCCTCAACATTTGTTTGTTATTTTTTGTTCGTTTCTTCAGTGATGATTGTAAAAAAAAAAAATAAAAAGATATGTAAACATCAAAAAATGTTTAAAAAAAAAAAAAAAAAAAAAACTCACGGGGGATCGAACCCGGTCCTACCGCGTGTGAAGCGGACATCTTTCCCACTGAGCAACTGGGGCATTTTTTTTTTCTTTAATGCATAGAAATTTTTACAAGTGACATAACATTTTGATACTTATGCGTATATACAGTTATAGGACATTCATTTTCACACCTTATTTACATACCAATGTCACACACACACACCTTATATATGGCATCTTATACATGTGGCCAGTGGATGTGATAAATTGAGACAGAAATTGCGTCGACGAGTGTAACACAATGGTCACAGAAGGATATATCGTCAATAGAGCATTCAGAAATCTGGGAGACCCAGACATGCATCGAATAGGGCAAACCACTCTGGTTGGCTGAGAGGTGAAGCGTATACGCTCCTCACTTGCGCTACCAGTTCTAGAAAAAGAGATTTTGTCGTACGGGGTTTCTCTGCGTGTCTGTCGATCATGCGACATTTCCATAGACTATGAAGTCCCAACAGAGCGAACATGTCGTACGGGACGGTTTCGTTCTCAGCGAACGGGAGGAAGCGGAGACTGTAGTCATTAAGAATTAGATCTTTCTTTAGCGTGCGTTGTAGAACATCCCAAAACAAAAACGCGTCGTTGCAATAAATAAAACAGTGCTCTATGGTCTCTGGCTTGTTACAGAGTCTGCAATTAACAGTCCACGGTACAAATATTCCTTTTTCCTGGAGGTAAGTTTTTACTGGTAGGGTTGATGTATGCAATTTGAAGAAGAACGTCTTGGTTGAGGGAGGCACGCCCATTTTCTTGACTCTTTTGAGAACATCATTGATGGGTTCTAGCGTGAAACGGGTACGGTAGAGTGGTAGTGAAAACAAGCTTTCCGTAATATTCCTTGACAGTGTCTTCCTGGACACGCTAAACAAATATTCCAATGAAAACCGTGTTTTCAGAAAATTTAAGGTATCGACAACTTCCTTTAAAAATCCCCAGGGCCTATTTTTCGACGTTTCGCCCGTTGAAACAACAAGATAACTTAAACTCTCAGCAAGGCGTGATTGGTGTATGACTCTAAGGAACTCGTGATTGGCATTTTTAAAGAAAAAGAATCTTGACACTAACTGGCGGACAAATATGTGACACAGTCCTAAACCACCGGATTCGAGAGGGAGGAATAGGTTGTCCCTTTTAACACGTTCCCACGTTGAGCACCATATCAAAGTGGCGAATATTCTATGGAATTTTTGGATGTCTGTTCGAGCGCAATGAAGCACTTGAAGAACGTACATAAGCTTTGAAGCGAGGAATATATTACAGACACTTGCTCTAGTAAAGATAGAAATATCTCTACCCTTCCACGCATCAGCCTTCCTTTTCAGTGTGGTCGCAAGGGTGGACCAGTACGTCGAGCTACTACGAATGTGTGAGAGCGGTACTCCAAGATATGTGATCGGACTCTGATTCCACTCTATCCCTGCAAAAAAAACGAGGTTTTGTGGCCCAGGAACCGCACCAGAATCCGTTGCATTTGGATGGATTCACTGAAGCCCCAGTGACTGCGCAGTAACGCGCTGTTTGATCAAGCGCTTTCTCGACACTCTTCTTGTCAACGCAAAAAAATCCAACATCGTCTGCGTATGCGAGGACTTTTACCTCGACATTTGCCACAGAGTACCCACGAATACATTCTATTTTCAGAATGCTGAGGCATAAGGGCTCTAAATACAATGCAAAGAGGAGGGGAGATAGAGGGCAGCCCTGCCTTACGGAAGATTTGATCTTAATTTCATCAGAAAGTGTGTTATTGATTTTCAGTCTTGTCGAACTTAGAGCACTATATAGCTCCTACGGAGCAGAGTAGCGCAATCCTTTGAACTCCGTGTTTTGCCGACAACATGGCCGACAGAGCGGCTCGGCGCGAGTCACGTGGTACTCAGGGTTCCAGGAGGCGGCCCGCCCTATGGGAGAATACATGGAGATCGACACAACACGGCTGATTAAAAAATGAACGGCGAGTTCACACTTTTCAAAACTAGTCTGTCGTGAAGTTAGTAAAGCACTAAACACTTTATCAAAGTTTTAACAATATCGGATGCGTGTGCAAATTTTGAGAAGGCAATTTCCAAGGCAATGGCGTTTGAAGCAGACGATTTTTGCTCGCAGCGGAGATGGGCTTTTCGGGTTGGCCGGAGCGGGTCACGTGAATGGTGTGACGTCGCCGTGTCGTCTGCTGCATGATGCCTCTCAGGCAATTTTTTAAAAAAAGTCAGGTCCTTGCGGGGCACAAAACTTAGCGCAAATTATTCTAAAGTGTTCCATTATTATCTCAAAAATGATTGCGATTCCGTACATTCCCACAATACTGGAGAAACAACGATTTTCTCACGTTCTCCATGCATTTCTGACCGCAGTTGGAACCTCCGGGCGTTCGCCGCTAGTCGCCGAGAGGCGGCGTTCTAGATTGCGCTACTCTAGAATATATATCTAGAATATAGAAGAAGAATATGAACTTTCAAAGGATCAGAAAGGAGTGCGCCGAACATTTGTGGCTGAAAGGAAAAGTCGCTGGGGAATCAACAGTCCTTGGAGTGGTTTACTTATGGACAGGGACAGGTGCTAAAGAGGAAAACAGAAAAATGATTGATTGCATATCAAGAGACATTAGTGAACTAGGGGAAGGCTCCGAAATAATTATTATGGGAGACATGAATGCCCATATTGAGGGTCTGGATGGGTATACGGACTCAACTGGAAGCATATTACTAGAACTGGTGGAAAAACATGACTTAGTTTTATGTAATACCAGTCAGAAGTGTGACGGGCACATAACTTGGGAAACTGGCAATCTGCATTCAACTATAGATTACGTACTCATGTCACACAAAATCTATGGTAAGTTACAAGTAATGAAAATAGATGAAGAAGGTTCCAAAAGTCTTGGTAGTGATCACAAACGTATTAAGCTGAATTTCGCCAGAGAAGTAAATGCTGAAACTAGACAACATAATTCAAAGCAAACTTTCTGCAGCGACAAAGAGTTGGAAATAGTTGTTGAAAGAATAGAGGCAGCAGTTTCAGGGCATCGGCATACAGATTGGACCTATGAGAGCCTAACTAGGCTTTTTGCTCTAGAACTAGACAAAGTTAAGAGTAAACGAAAGGGGAAGCAAGGACATAGACCAAAAAGCTGGTGGGACAAAGAAGTGAAGCAAGCGATACAAAAACGTCAGGAAGCCTCTAGAGAACACAGGTATTCCAAGCGTAGTGGGGAGTCCGAAACGGAAGTAAAAAGAAAATGGGACAATTTTATAACATGTCGCCGAGAGGCATCCAGTTTGATCAATGCGAAAATTCAGAGAAAGGGTGAGGAATGGATGAGTAATGTAAGTAAGAAAGATAGAAACGCTGCCAAGAAGTTTTGGGAGCACTTGAACTCACTCGGTGAAACAACGCAAGCTAGACAGAGGTTCATACTCTCGCATCAGGGAGATCAATTAGAGGGAGATGATGCGATACAATATATAGGAGCAGTGATGGAGGAGAAATTTCGGGAACGGTTACATGTGGAAGATAGGAGAACCGAAGGAAGTAGCAGTCCAGTTTGTGACATCGCGGATTTTGGACAAAGAGAATGGGAAAAGGCGGAACGAAGAGTCCCTAGTGGCACGTCGACAGGCACGGACGGTATCCCTATCAAGCTGGTGAAGAATTTGGGTCCTAAATCTAAGGCAAAACTAAGGGAGGTAGTGAGTACCATGATAACAAAAGGAAATATTCCAGATGAATGGAGGCTTAGTAGGATGAGTATGATATATAAGGGAAAGGGAGATAAGTCGGATATTAGGAATTATCGTCCTATAACCGTGACACCGGTTATTTACAGGTTGGTAATGCAGATTATAAAGAACAGACTGGAGGAATGGGTAGATTGCGAGGGCATACTGGGCGAATTACAGAACGGGTTTCGAAAACAAAGAAGGTTGGAGGACAATTTATTTTCTCTAACACAGTGTATAGAAATAGCGCAAAAAGAAAACAGACAGCTCTGGCTGGCATTTCTGGATATCAAGGGTGCCTATGACAATGTGAACCAAAGAAACCTGTGGGACATAATGGAGAACTTAAACCTAGATGAAGGACTAACAGCACTATTAAGGAACATTTACAAAGATAACAAGGTGATTATAACATGGGAAGGAAAGGCGACAGGGAAAATAGAGATAAGCCGAGGCCTTAGGCAGGGGTGCCCGTTATCGCCTTTGCTGTTTATGTTGTATCTGAGAGGATTGGAGGATAGACTAGAGAAGAGTGGGCTTGGGTTCAACCTTTCTTACAGTAAGCTAGGCCAAAAAATTCAGCAATCCTTACCGGGATTGATGTATGCGGATGATATTGTACTAATGGCTAACAACAGGACAGAGTTGCAGGAATTAATGAGCATCTGTGGTAGGGAAGGAGAGGAATTAGGCTTAGAATTCAGTAGCGAAAAATCGGCAGTCATGATTTTTAACGAGGATGAGGTTGAGAGGCTGAAGATACAGAATATTACAGTTGAGAGAGCTAGTAAATACAAGTATCTAGGAGTATGGATATGTGATGGTGCAGAATATCTCAGAGACCATGAAAAGTATATAATAGGTAAGGGCAACAGAAATGCAGCTGTAATGAAAAATAGAGCACTTTGGAATTACAACAGGTATGAGGTGGTGAGAGAGATTTGGAAAGGGGTCATGGTGCCTGGCTTGACTTTTGGAAAACGCAGTGCTATGCATGAAATCCGAAGTGCATGCGAGACTAGAAATAAAACAGCGCGGAGTAGGTAGACTGGCTTTGGGGGCACATTGCAAAACGCTAAACCAGGGAGTACAAGGAGACATGGGATGGGCATCATTTGAGAGCAGGGAAGCGGTGAGCAAGGTAGAATTTGAGGATAGGTTGAGGCAAATGGACGGGGAGCAATGGGCACGAAAGGTTTTCAGCTATTTATACATGAGGAGTGTAGACACAAAGTGGAGACAGCGCACTAGGAAATTAAGAGGAAAGTTTTTGGGCTATAGCGAAGATACGGAAGAGCAAGTCTCAGTTAAGAAGAAAGTTAAGGCCACAGAAAGAGATTGGTGGCTAGAGGGAATGCAGACAAAGACGGCTCTGGAAAGCTATAGATTAAACAAAAGAGTTATTGCCAAAGAAAGCATTTATGACAATTCTAGGGGAAGCTCATTGCTGTTTGAGGCCAGAACGGGTGTTCTGCGAACCAGAACATACAGAGTGAAGTACCAGGAAATTGATACAGTGTGCACTGCTTGTGGAGAGGAGGACGAGACGGCTGAACACTTGATACTCTACTGTAAAGGGCTTCACCCTATGCCTACCGAAGACAACATAGATTTAATAAAGTCATTGGGTTTTAGAGACAGCGAAGGGAGAGTGGATTTCAAGACTGTAGAGATTACCAAGCAAAGATTAAGTGAATGGTGGCAGAAATCGAGAGAAAACTAGGTATTTTCTTATCCACTGATGGCAAGGGGGTTTCATAGCCTCACTTTCTTTGCACTGCGGAGTGAATATAGATTTCACATTTAAATATTCTAAGCTTAAATGGTAAAACAAAATGGCTAGGTGGCGTAAGCTACCGCCCGATCCAAAGGGCTCAGCCGTATTCATCCATCCATCCATCCATCTAGAGTTCAGCCTCGGCGCGTGGCCGTAGCGCCGGCTTTCCCGCACGAGATGGATGCTTTGCTCCTCACGTGACTAAATTTGGCGAATAGCGGCGCCGCGCGCGCCGCCGCGCATGGAAAACAGGAGAGGAGGAAAAGGAGGCGGAAAGCAGGGAAACATACGCCGGGGCAGGAGAAACGTCGGCGGAGCGACCGTAAAGGTGGCTTTCTTGCACGCCAACGGTTGCTTTGCTCCTCACGTGATAGATCTCGGCGAATAGCGGCGTGGCGGCGCGGGGAAAACAAATGCGCAACTCTGGCTCCCGTAGGGAGCCTATAAAGGAACTCTACGCTACTCTGCTCCGAAGGAGCTATATAGTGCTCTAGTCGAACTATGCATGTAGCAAAGTCGAATACCTTCCAAAAGCGTCTCTCCCAGGTTTACGTGCTCAAGAAGGGCAAATAGAAATGAATGACTCACGCGGTCAAAGGCTTTTGTAAGGTCTATTTGTACAAGTGCAACCTGGCCATTACTGTCTGACACAGACTCTAGGACGGAACGGGCAACATGTACGTTCGTTTGAATAGATCTGCCCCGTCTGCCACAAGTTTGGTGCTCACCTACCAGCTTTTCTATTACGCGCTGAAGTCTTTCATTGAGAACTTTAGCGTAGATCTTATAATCGACGTTGCAGAGTGATATTGGTCTGTAGTTTTCCATCTTTTTAAGCATTCCAGGATCTTTTGTTTTTGGCAGCAATACCGTGTGTCCACGGTAAAATGAAGGGGGAAGAGTTTTCTGAATGTAGGATTCTTCAAATATAGCGAGTAAAACAGGAGATATAATGTCTTGGAACTTTTTGTAAAATTCACCGCTTAGTCCGTCGGGTCCTGGTGTTTTCCCATTTGGGAGAGATTTAATGGCGGCCTTAATTTCGTTTAATATTATGGGGCCTTCAATTAAAAGGCGATCTTCCTCGTCAAGTTTTGGCATCTCTGTTAGTAGCTGTTCGATCTCAGTCTTGTCTTTTGTGGGTATTACTGTTCCAAATATATTTGTATAGAAGTGGTGAAAAGATTTGACTATTTCAGTTGCGTCGGTGAGTATCAAACCATCTTTGTTAATTTCTACTATTTCTTTTGACAGCGCGTTACGTCTTTCGTCATCCAAAGATCTTTTGGTAGGTTGTTCGCCGAGGAGAAGGCGTTTCTTCCGCGAGCGAATTAATGCTCCGCGGTACCTTTCGGTTTCATACTTTTGAAGCTGGGCTCGTACTATGTTAACATCGTCGCTGTACGCGCCTGGGTTTAAGCATTCAAGCTCGTAAAGGGTTACTAAATTTTTAAAAAGGTCGCGCTGCTGTTGTTTGTTTATATATGATGCAATTGTAGCGCGTGTAGCGCGTTCGATTGCGAGGTTTTTTGCTTCTTGTTTGAAACTATCCCATTTTGCAAAGATGTGCATGTCAATGTTTTGCAATGTATTCGACAAAAGTAAGGAGATGTTAGTTGAAAACTGCTCATCACTTAGAAGCCTCAGGTTGAGCTTCCAGTGTTCCCACTGCTGATGAACACCTCGGAGTCTGCGCGGCCCAAAGCAGACTGATACCAGGCAGTGATCAGAAAAGAAAACTGGTTTGACTTGGTAATTGCTCATTGAGTTGATTATATCACCTGAGACATATATTCTGTCTAATCGTGCGTGAGATGTTCCTTGGAAATGGGTGTAGCGTATCAATTCACCTTTTTTATAAGCTACATCAACAAGGTTATGGTCTTGAAGCGTGCTCCGTAGAGCGGCGGCACTTCCGTCATACCTAGTTTGTGACACCGATCGGTCGTCTCCACTGCAAACGCAGTTAAAATCTCCCATCGCAACTGTTGTTCTATTTGTGTCGAAAAGCGGCGAAACTAGTTCATAGAATGATGTTCTTTCTCTAGGGGTATTTGGAGCATACAGGCAGATAAAGCGCCAATTTATCTGCCTAAAACAAATGTCGCAGGAAATAAGCCGCCCTTCCAGGTCATTTACAATGGAAACTGATGATAACTCAAGCTGTTTACGAAAAAAAAGAAAACATCCGGCGGAGACTCCTTTGGCTTGGCTAACGCAGATTTCGTAATCCTTAAGAAAAGGTTCTAATGCGCCCGCGATGCCTTCATCTGTAGATAATTTTGTCTCCTGTATTGCCGCAACGTCCACTTTCTCTTCTTCGAAAAGACGCAACAGCTGAAACTGCTTCCTTCTAGACCCTAAACCTCTTACATTTAGCGTTAGAATATGTAATGGAAGGGCGGGATACATCAGGATATTTTAGGTGTTGTTCTCTGTACCCTTGAGGTTCCCCAGTAGCTTGGAGTATGGCTTGTGCCGCACCCCTGCCGGCTGGCGGTCTTTTTTGGGACCTCTTGGAAGGGAGCTCGTCGGCAGAGGAACTTTTGGTCGGGAGGGGCATTGAGGTTCCTTCTGGTTCATCGGATGGTCTCGATGTCTCAGAGGCAGGTACGATGGTGGTGGGTTCCACGTCTACCTCGTCATGCTCTTCGTCACACTCTGTATCCACTTCGCCGACAATCGTTGACTCTGATGATGAGGATGACGCGCCGTCCTCGTCAGGTGGAGGTAGCTCCGAGGGGCCCCCAGGGTCATCCTTGCATTCGTTGATGGCAGGTGCTGCTCTTGGGTGCTCCTGCTCCACGAACTTTTCGATCGTTGATGCCGGTGGTGTGTGCCCCGATGCGCCAAGGACCTCCGTGACATCCATAAGCAGCTCGCTCTGTTCTTCGGCCTCCTGGGTTCTTGGTCCAAGGAGCTTACTTGCATACGTTGTGACGCAAGTATCAGTCGTGTGTCCGTACCGTCCACATTTAAAGCAGCGGGGGGTCTTGCACTGGCGGCGAACATGCCCCACTCTGTTACACCTGAGGCATAGAGGTGGGCGGCCTGGCACGAGTAGGAGGCACTGGCATCCAAAAATCTTCAGGAGATGTGGCACCTTCTCAATCGTGATGTCGTCGTGAAGTGTGATGTTCACTTCTCTGTTTAAAGTGTCCATATGTTCCATGCCGGGGCATCTCCATTTCTCCCGGCTCATGCTCCGCACGGTTCCGTAGGCCTGCAGGGCCTCAGCGACGCGTCGGTCTTCAAGATGGTCTGGTAGCCAAATTATTTTTATCTTGATGTCGCGAGTGTCTGGGTCTATAACCAGACATTTTCGTCCTTTCACGAGAAGTTCTCTTTGTTGACACAGCTTCGCTTTCGCGAGCGCGTTTGTGCAGGTGACCATCCAAATGTGACTCATTTGGTATTGTCCGGTTGCCTTTACATCTTGGAGATCTATTACGTCTCTGAGGGCGTCGCGAAAGTCTGGCGCTGAGTAAGGCCTAGCGCTTATGTCTGCGTGCAGGAATACGGAGTTTAAAATCAGGTTGCCTGTTGGAAAACGAGGAACGATTACCTTGTAGTCGGTTGTACTGTTGTCAGACGATACGGGGTTAACTCGGCCAGTGGCCGATACGGTGCATGTTTCCACCAGACATCATATTCCTTGCTGCCGTTCCGAACGGCTTCTTCTTCCTCTTCACTTAAACAGCGCAAATAAGTTACGTAAGGAAGAGACAACAGGAAGGAAAGAGCGCTGACTCACAACTGAGGTTTTAATAATGATGTAGTGAAAGAGAAGGAAGGTGTCAAGTGCTGTAATATTATTAAATTAAAGCTAAGGGCCAATTTAACGGAATGACAATTTGCATTTCTAAGTAACCCAAGTGAATATATCCACGTACAAATATTCAGAAGTGAACTACAAAGTTGTCGGTGACCCAACGGTTACTGGTTGTCACAGCCAGAAAAAAGGAAGAAGAATCACGATGCCGACGGTGATCCCAAGGGCGTTGGCTTCCACATAAATGAAAATTGAGAAGGGAAAAGAAGAAGAAAACAGGAATAAAAATAATTTAGGGACTAAAATTCAAAAATTGGAGCTCTTTCGCCGTCAAAGCAATCGAAGGCGTACTTATGCAGGCTAGGCCCTTATTCGCGATCTTGCACGCCTCGTACACCTCTCTAGTCTTTTGTTCTTTAAAATGTTTAAGCACCTTAGTCTCAGAAAACCTTGGTGTGCACCCGCAATCTCTCACATGCACAGCAAGATGGCCCGCTGGCGTTGAGTTTAGAGAAAGTGCATGTTCCCTAAGTCTCACATTGATGCACCTCCAGATTGTCCCAGATACACCTTCCCACATGACAGCGGTATTTCATATATGATGCCACTCTGACATTCCACGAACTTTCTTGCATGGTTGATTTTACATTGGTCGTGTGTATCCCGCTGCTCGTTGATTTTTGGGCATAATCTTTTAAGTTTGTCGGGCGCTGTGAGGACGATAGGAACCTCAAACTTTGCGGCTACTCTTTTTAGGTTATGGGAGAGACGGTGAATGTAGGGCATTACCACAGGTCGGATCTTTGTTCGGTTTGGACTTCCTCTTTGACGTTGTTTTAACATGCTCTCTACGATGGTGGAAATAACTGAAGTCGGGTACCCTGAGGCGTGAAGTCTCTGCAGCTGGTTGTTAAAGCTCTCTCCTGCTGTGTGGTCACAAGACTTCCTCAGAGCCGCCCCCAACGTACTTGCAACAATTCCTCTCTTGACGAGCTTAGTGTGTGAGGAGTCGTACTGCAGAAGACTTTTCTTTGTTCGTGGGGCGTACATCCAGCATACACTGTCTTCGTGGAATGTTATTTTGAGATCTAAGAATTGTAGGGACTGGTTTTCCGGCCATTCATGCGTGAACGTTAGTCCCCCGGCGTGTTCTTCGAATGTCGTTTGAACGGAATCCATGAACTGTGTCTCACATTTGGGTCGGGCATTGAGGAGGATAAGATAGTCGTCTACGTATCTGAATATATGACTAACCTGGGGAATGTCAAGGCTGTCATCAATGGCTCTATTACATTTCGAGAGGTAAACATCTGTCAAAGCAGGAGCTACACAGGATCCTATACAGATTCCTCTCTTCTGTATGTAGTGTTCTCCATTGAACGTTACCACAGTTGAGTTCAAGTAGAGCCGTAGAAGCTCAAGGAAGGAATCCACTGCCATTCCACAGTTGTTCTGAAAGGCTACTTCTCCATTGGCTTCAATGTGTTCTCTCAAAGCAGTAAACATCCCCTCGTGAGGTATAGAGTAAAATAAGTCTTCTACATCGAGAGATAGGCCATACCGAACAGTTAAGATGTTGTTTCCCAGATATTCAATCACCTTCTCAGAATTGGAGACCAGAAAAGGGTCATTAAGTCGTAGGGTTGCCAATTGCCGTTGGAGGAACCTTGACATGGCTCCTTGCCACGATCCTTTTTCTGTAATGACCACACGGAAAGGACACGCTTCTTTGTGTGTTTTCCCGGTGAAGAATAAGCCCAGTTGGTCTTTATCGGCTGATGTTATCTGTTTTCGTAATTGCTCTAACTCAAACTTGTGGCACAGTTGTAGAGCTCTGGCCTTCACTGACTTGGACTTGTAACCTTCTAGTTTCTTAAAAATTTTCCCGATGGCCATTCTTGCCTTATTCGTGTAAATATCATGGGGAGCTACAATAAAACCTCCTTCTTTATCGGAAACAATTAAGTTTAAATTGTTCTGCTGGAAATACCCTACAATGCTGTCTAACTTGGTTTTACTGCATGTTGCGGGTGCCGTTCCCACTTTCATCACCACATCCATGCATTCATCGATACACCGTGGTCGGTACGGCTCTTGAGTTTTTGCCGCTATATCATGAATGGTGGACACTATCTGTACATCGTGCATTTTTGGTTTCGTGCAAAATTTGGGGCCTTTCTCCAAGACCTTTGTTATTTCTACAGGTAGATTTGTATTGCCTAGGATGGTAACAGGCTCGCCCCTCGTGCATCTACCTTCATTTCGGAGACTCTTGAGATGAGGAACGTATGTCCACCAGAAGAACTCTGTCATCCTACTTGCTCTGAGGAGGTAGTCTCGATATTGTGACCCGCTGCCGCTGTGGGATTGTCCACCCTGGGCAAGTATCTTAAGGCAGGTTCGAAAATACCGGACCTGTCTCCACATCTCAGAGCGTATGATCCTGCAGATTCTCCTGGAGTGGCCCGTTGATGGTTGAGCGTAGCCGAACAGCCCTCGGATGTCGTAAGGTACCACACGATGCTTGATTGCGAAAGAACAGATTCTTGCCTTGCCTCAGCAACTGGGGCATCCCGTTTGTGGTGGATCTCTTTCCTTAGTAATAATTCAGCCGGTAAACTGTAAGTTGGAAAGTTTGCTGTTGATTGTTCTCTAGCAAAAGCACTCCCGGGTCGAAGTCGGGAAGCACTACGCTTTGGGGACATTCGCACCTAGTAAAGAAATCGTACGCGTGCATATTCAACTCGAAGTAGAGACGTCGTGCTTGACGTTTGCGCGAGCGTTGTCTTCAGCCACGAGAAGGGAGCGACGGCTCGGCGACGTCTTCGTGCAAATCGGCTTGGTGGCCGGGCGTGTCGTGCGGGATGAATATCAATTCTTTTGATCAGTCCAACATTTCTCTTTTAACGGTAGACAGAATTCGCCGGTACCGCGAACGACAGTTCTGAAATAGAGGTCCCACGCCCGTCGTCCGCTGCCATCGCCGTCCCCGCGAGTCCCACGATACGCGAAACGACGAACGCACAGAATGCTTCCGGTTGTCTGTGGAACTTTTTTTTTTCAATCAACGTATTTAAGCTTTTTAGAAGCCACAAAAAATGGGTTTCATATTTTTTTCTATTTTTAATATTGAGTGCGTGTCTTCAGTGACCCACGACTTTGATTAAATTTGGTGGTCGCATCGATACCTTAGAAAACGGCCCGTGACCGCGAAAAAGAGAGTGAGCGAGACTCGAACCGGCCAGTTCTTGATCGGCGGTTTTCGGGCGGAAAGGAACCGAATTTCGAGGCGCAAATTCTGTTCTGGGTAGTTGAGCTCCCATATGTCACGTACAACTAAAAACATCGGCGAGCATAAATACCCTGTCAGTGTCCCTTTAAAGGGGTACTCCACCGATTTTTTGAGCTACCTCAACTAACTATATTTTCTGACTCCCCGGCCTTTAGCCTTTCCGGTATGCTATTTAGCATCGCGAAATTCATAATAGGTATTGTGAAATCGGCAAATGAAAATGGTGCAAAAGCCGATATTCAAATATTCGCGCACTTTTCAGTGCCGTGACGTCAGTGGCAGGCAGGCTTGCCAGTCGAGCAAGTAGTCTAAAAATAGAATATGCCAATCATTTGTTCCGTGCTGGAG